AACACACCTGTAACGTGTCTTATTACCACAGTAACATACCTGTAATGTCTCTTATTACCACGGTAACACACCTGTAACGTGTCTTATTAACACACCTGTAAAGTCTCTTATTGCCACGGCAACACGCCTGTAACATGTCTCAATACCACGGTAAAACGCCTGTAATTAGTGTATTTACCATGGCAACACATTTTTATTGACTTTCAGATTGACAGATGTGTAGTGACTTGTTGACTTGTTGCCACGGTAACACACCTGCCTGTCTTCGGTACGGTGCTCACACATCCAAAGTGATTGCTGTTACCATGGCGATACATCAGAAATAGATCCACAGTGACTTCTGCTGCCATCTGCGGCTTTCATTGCTATGGCAACACATCTGTAACGGGCTGCGTGTGCCAGACATCCCATAATATCCGCCACGTAACACCAGGTATCTCATGTTACCATGGTAACACGTCTGAAGTCACGAGCCGGCAGCTGTAGAACCGAGCGGCAGCCATGTTGGCGCCTCGGTGCTGTGCCACTGTGGTTGCCATGGCAACCACTGAACCCACAGCAGCTGACCTTTAGTGCATCCCCGTTACCATGGCAACGCCCTGAGTACAGGGTTTCTTGGTTTCTAGGTTTGAGCTGAGCTCGTTAAGGCCTCGTTAAAACTGACCTCGTTGAGCACTCAGAGCCTGTTTTTGATCACCTGACAGCCAATCAGAGAGCAGGAGCTTCAGGCCACTAAACCTGTGTAATAACAATAATAATCAGAGGAAGAAGAAGATTTGTATTTGTTAAACATCTTTGAGATAAAAAAAATGACCACGAGCAGGCAGCTTTGGTGTCATAATAACTGGCTCACCTGTGCAGGTGAGTCTAGTGTCACCAGGTGAGCGTGTGCAGGTGAAACTCACCTGGTTTCATTCCTCAGAGAACACTGCTGGAGTTTTCCATCTTCGCTCTCCGGAGGGAAAATACAAGATGAACTTCAGTCAGGCTGCTGCTGCCTGTCAGGCCGAAGACGCCACGCTGGCGAGCTTCAAACAGCTGGGAGACGCTCAGCAGGTAAGCTCACCTGCTGCTGTTTCCATGGCGACGCACCGACACATCGCACATCTGAATCGCCTTCTGAGGTTTTCTCCAGATACACATGACATTTAGGAGGAAGAACACATCTGAGTTCTGGTAGAACCTGACACCAGATCAGTTCTACATCCATCCAGGTGTCTCACTCTGAACACTGGACCTGGATCTGTTCAGGTCCTCTGTCAGCAGCTGGTAGCATCAGTGTCATTAATCATATGTTGTTTTGAAACAATCGTGGCTAATTGATGAAACTGCATCAAAAAAATATGTGTTTTATGAAAACAAGCCTTTTCGCTGTTGGTTTGAACTTTTTACTGTTTTCTAGATTTTCCACGTTTGGTGTTTTACAGATAAACATAAACAGCTGTTCATAATGTCCACATCAGCAACAGTCATGTGTTCATATTTAATCATTCTCATACTTTTACTAATTACTATGATATTGTGTTCAGCTCGGGATGCATCTGTGTGTTGCCGGCTGGTTAGAAGGAGGGAAGGCTGGATATCCGACCCGGTTCCCCTCAGCCAAGTGCGGAGACAACCATGTGGGTCTGGTGATGTACAAAGAACCTGTGGACCAGAGCAGCCTGTACGACACCTTCTGCTACAGGCTCAGAGGTATGACAGCAGCCCACCTGTTACCATCAAGTCCTGCAGCAGCTCTGTGGAACCAGAACCACATGAACAGAACTCAGAGTCTGTTTGAAGCAAAAAGTTTTTTATTTTTAAATGAAACGTGTAGAACAAAGTCATTGAGATGAAACATGATTCTGATCTCCTCATTGTGGGTTTTTTTTTTATGATTAACATGTCTTCATTGGTTTCATGGTGTTTCATGTTTTTTATAAACACGACGACAGCGACTGAGCTGCTGCTTCATTATACTCTGAATCTTCTCTCATTGCTTCAGGATCCGAGTTCGTCTCTACGAACCACGTTCATGGCTCTGGTCCTTCATCCAGAACCTAACATCACTGAACCAGTTAATAACCAGCAAATAACCAGTTAATGACAGTTAATGACCAGCTAATAACCAGCAAAAAAAAAGTTATTAACCAATTAATAACCAGTGAATAACCAGCTAATAACCAGTTCATAACCAGTTAATAACAGCAAATAATTAGTTGATAACAGCCTATAACTAGTTTATAGCCAGTTAATAGCCAGTGAATAACAGCTAATAACCAGCTAATAACAGTGAATAACCAGCTAATAACCAGTTATTAACCAGTTTATGACAGTGAATCATCGTCATTGTTATTGACCAGTTAAAAACCAGTTAATAACCAGTTAATAACCAGCTAAAAACCAGTGTATGTCCAGCTAATAACATCAATAACAGTTAATAACAGTTAATGACATTTAATAACCAGTGTATAACCAGTTAATAACAGTGTATAACCAGTTAATGACAGTTAGTAACAATGTATAACCAGTTAATAACCAGTTAATGACCAGTTAATAACAGTGTATAACCAGCTAGTAACCAGCTCAGTTTGTTTAGTGAAGCCAGATAAATAAATCTTGGATAAGTTGATTCATGTGTAAATCTTGTCTTGTTTGTTCGTCGTTGTTGACGAATCTTTGGTTAATTCACTAATCTGACACCAATAGACTTCGTCCACACGTAACACATCCACAGAGAAAAACCAGAACACTGGATCAGAACCATGAAAACCAGAACA